AAGGACTCGGCGCGGCGGCGGCGGCGGGGCGGGGCGGGAGCGGCGCCGGGGGGGGACGGGAGCTGCGTTATCAAGCTGCGCCGGCCGCACCACGTGACTCGGGTGGGCGGGACGAGAGTTTCGCTCGGCGCCTATCACCGGGCTCCGCGGTCCTCCACCACGTGACATCCCGGCAAGCGGAGGAGCTGGCCGGACTGCGAGCTCTGGCGCCACTTCGTGGCTGCCTGGGCTTAGGCACCGGCTTCTGCGTTGTGCGTGGAGTCCCTCAGGATCAGGCAGGCCCCAAAGGGATTGGGGCTTTGTGCTCTGGGGCTAACCACTCCGGTGGGTCTGCCCGCTGGCCGTGCCCACTGGAATAGGAATGGTCAATTGACCGGCGGCCTCGTTACGTGAAGTACCCCACTCAAACCTGCCACTAGCTTGAAATCTTATTCCCCTCCATGGCGTTTTCTAACTGGAACCAGAGATGATATCCTTGAAGAATCCCTACACCCTGTCCAGGACCCACATCCCAGGTATCTTCTGCATTCAGATTCTTCAGGCACTGTCCTGGCAAGACCCTGAAAACAGATTACAGATGCTGGTGAGACCTCCCTGGGTCCAGTACTGCATTTGCATCCTATAGACAGGAATCTTGGTGCCCCTGGGTCCAACTTTCTGCTGTAGGTTTCTGGGCAGACAGGAGGCTGGGAAGGTAAGTCTGTAGAGCAGGTAATGCCAGAAGTTAAAATCTCTCGCCACGCTGACATCTTGCTGGCTAGTGTTCTGTCTACATCCAGGTGAAGTACAGGCAAGAGTACCCAAAGGCGGGGCTTTATGCTCTCCATGGATGGCTGCTGTTTCCAGGTTAGTTCCTGTAGGATGACAAAGGGTGCACCCAGCTCTCCCCTCCTCCCACAGGCACAGAGCGATTGGCAAGAGACAGGTGCAGAGGGCTCCATAGCAGGATTTAAGGCTCCGTGGATGCAGACTGAACTTAGGAACCACACAAGCGAGCTCAGACCGACTCTTTGGAAAACACAACTTCTTAGCTGTCACTTCATTTACATGATGTTTGGTGGCAGCAGGAGCGGTGTCCCCAGCAAGGCACAGTCACTCTGTTAACTACCAGTCACAGAGCAACTGAAAACCATACTGCACATAGCTCTCAGGTCCTCTGAACCAATTCCTGCCAAACCTGCAAAACTACAAGTAAGCAAGGGGCCTTGTTCACACTAGACCTAGACCAGAACCCCAACGAATGGATAACTAAGTACCAGGTGGGGTGAAGAAATGAAAATGCCAACTCTGACTACCTGCACTAACGCAGAAAATTCTCTGCTTGTTCTGCACATGCTGACTTAAGACCAGTAATAGGTCCACCTTCAGCTCAGGTGTCAAGCCTAAGTCTTCACCAGGCTGAAGTACACAACACTCTGAAGCCCAGAACTGCCCCCACCCCTTCAACTTTGATTGCTCCAAGCTCCCAAATCCTGTTATGGGTGATTCTGGCACTGGCAGGCCAAGGGACCTTTGCAGACTGGAGAGATAAACCAGTAGATTATAGGACCGAATCCTGTTTTAGTTCACTCTCCAAAGACAGATTTGTTTTTACCCTTTAATAAAAAATTCCCAGACAAACTCTGAAGTCCTAGAGTAAACCAGCAAAAGAAGGAAGTAAACTCCTCCCCCTGGGAGGAGGGGGCACCATGGAGCCAGCATCATCATTAGGAAAGCTCCAGGCTTCGCGTCTCATTGTCAGGAGCCCGCTTAAAAAATAAATTACAAAATGTTGTTTGGGGAAGAGACAGGTGAACTGTTTTTCCCTCCGGTGACTATAAATCAGTCCGTGCGCTGGCTGCCTTGGGGGCGTATTTAGGCATCAGTTCGTTTATCTTCCGGATATAGTCAGACTTTTCTGCGCAGCCTTTGCACATCTCCCCCCAGTCGTCCAGGATCTTCTTCAGCTCTTTCACCCGAAGCTTCTTCAGATCCACTGTGCTCAGGTCAATCTGCTTGTCTGCAGGGAGAGCAGGACAGTAAATGGTAGGATGCTGCAGCCCCCTGTGCTGCATGCAAACCATTCCTTAGGATGGCCGGCCCCTACTTGCGGCAGGGGAGACGTATGTATATTGTGCCAAGAGGGAACTGGCATTCTTCACCAGGAGGGTCACCTCAGGCTGTCAGTATCCACTACAGGACATGCAGTACCGAGAACCCACATGGTTCCAGTTCCCCAAGGACCTTTTACATGTTAGCACAGAATGAGTTCCAGGCTGATGACAGAGCAGACACATCCTCTTTCTCCCCACCAAGGTACCAGAGTCAAAGCTTACTCCATAATCCATGACTCAGACAGACCTACACCAGAACCAACCAGGGTACCAAATTACAACCACAAACACAAGGCCCTTGGACACGTGAGTTATAATAAACACTGGCATTGTTTAAACTTCATGGGAGAGGCCTGGCTCGTCTCAAGACTGGAGTTATGTGCGATGAGATGGGCTTTGCCACGGTGATGCTGTGACTCCTATCATTCCTGGGCTGAAGGTCTTAGGGCCATCAGAAGTACAGCCATGACAAGTCTGTTAAACTCAAGTCTCATTACAGCACTTCTCTGCTCAAAAACTTCTGATGCTTCCAACTTCAGACTAAAAGTCAAATTCCTTACCAAACCCCAAGGTCCTACCCAACTTGTCCACCTTATGTATTATATCTTTATATTCTCTGTCTGCACTGTCCTGTTATTAGCTGGTCTCCTTCAAATCCTCCCTCTTTCAAAGTATGCTAACAAGTCACCTTCTCAACTTCTCACTATCACCTAGCTTTGATGTCTCTGAGCCCTGCAGAGTATCATCGATCATGCTACACACCCTCATGATGACGCTTCTGACTAGAAAGCAAGCCCAGGCAGGCACACAGACATCGCAGGAGGCGCACAGTCCTGGCCACACTCACCGTATTTCAGCTCGCAGATCTGGCTGTCTTTCTTTTTTAGCTTCTCACAGATCTTCTCCACGGGGATATGGTGGGCCAGGGGCTTTGACACCTCATTGATGATCTTGGTGGCTGCATCATCTGTGGCCCCAATGTAGTAGCACTGTAGCAGAAAGGAAAAAGGAACAAAAGTCTTAATGTTTTATGTGCATGATGAAGCACACATGTATGCAGGTGCTGGGGAGGCCAGAAGGCATCTGATTGCCCGGAGCTGGAGTTAAGACTGTTGTGGGTAATGGAGACTAAATACAGGTCCTCTGCAAGAGCAGGACACTTTCAGAACCACCTCTCCATCTCACGTCATCTTGAAAACTCTTGGCCAGGCTGCATGTTTTTAGTGCTTGCTCAGATCTAGTAGTTGTACACTCTAGGCCTTGATATTTGCTCAGTGCCAGAGTTTCCAAATGAACTGAAGAACCATCAGAGTTCCAACGAAAGACTGCCAGAGAAAGTAAAGCTACAAAGGCCAATGCTTTACACTAGGGCTCTTGCCCTTGACTTGGCCCTGGCCACCTTGGGGCACCTAGTTAACTATTTCCGATCCCAAACACACCAAACTCTCTCTGGCCTTTGGGCACTCAGACTGTTTGGATCCCCTCTCTGACTACTGTCTCTAACAGCCCCCAACTCCCCAAACTATCCTAGTCTATTTTCTTCATGGATACACCGCTCACTGCTTTCCATTTGCCTGGCATTTTTCTTTCCTGGTTGTACCAATACTCAGCTCATAGGAGATATTTTATAAGTACAGGCGAAAAATACTTCAGTCTTGCATTAGTTTACAGACATGGCCCATCATCAAGTGGACCATACACGCGAGCCAGGGAGAGCCTGGGTGGGTCACCAGAGACTTACCAACCGATTCTCTTTGCCTCTTGCTTCACGACAGAACTTTATAAGTTCTTCTTCAATAGTGGTTGGTGAAAATGTGACATCTCTGTCTTTGAGGTCCTGGTAAAATCTTCCCAGATAAGAAATACAAACTGCAAAAGAGGAAAGAGAGATGCTAAGCAATTACTAGTCCCCATTTTACCAGGGGTAGAAAAAAAAAAAAGAGATGATAATTATTTTCCCATCATTGGTTTTTCTCACGTACTCAAAGGTGCACAGAACCCTTAGGTTGCTGGGGTCTTAGTACCCAGTGCATGCTGAGAATGAACATTACCCCAGTGACCCCCACACAATCTTCCCTGCTCTTTTCAAGTTTAAGCCGAGTGTGGACACGTGTCCTTGAGAGGGAACTCACTGTGACCTCATAAGGGGCACACTGGAAGCTGAAGCAAACAATCGAAATGTTTCTTATTCCAAATACAACACCGAACCCATAAGTGCAGCTTGGCAATCCCAAGAGGCCGTTGCGGCCCACGGGGGTCCCTTCCCAGAACCTCTAAACAGTGATGGGAAAGGACAAAAACTCCTGCGTTGTGAGCTTCCAGCCAAGTTTTCAACGCGACTGAGCCGACGCTTTCCCTTAAACGGGTCAATGCTTCTAGGTCCGGGTAATAATTCCGAGAGGCCCTTCCTCCAGCGGACCGCGCCAGGATAGGCCCCCGCCCTCTCGGTTCCGTTGG